CAGTTTTACGTGAACGGCGTTTTCAACCAACTCAGTGTTGAGTCCGTCTTCGTTAGACATGGTTGAAAAAAAATTACTGGACTAAGCGTATGCGTGAGAGATATGGGAGTTCTGAGCTAGCAAGAAAAATAGAAAACAGCAAAAATTGTTCGGGCTCACCAATTATGTAGTGGCTAACGGCCCTATGGAGTCTCTAGTGAACTGAACAAACTACTGATGTAAGCCAGATACAAAGTCACAAGGAGAAAAATACAAGTAAATTTTGACTCACAGTTCAAAATAGGAGATTCCGTAGTTCCGTATTCCGTTGAACCACCACACAAAGAATAGTTCTATCTTCCTGGTATCCCAGATCTCCGGTGATCGAAATAGTATTCCACAAGCGCGAATATATTAGTCCAGCGTTTGTAGCTGAAATGTTTGTTCACGTTTAGTATTAGCAGCGGTCAGATATAGCTAACCGGCGGTCACAACAACAGTCACTCAGCAGAAGTCTCAAAGTCACGTTGGAGCCAACGCGCGGCGGTAGCGGTTGTATTTCAGTAAAACAAACTTTTGTACAGCGATGTGACTGGTAATGATGGGAAAAAGAAGATGATACTGAGCATGAAAAAGGGCAGTTTACAAGTGCTACATGGTAATTAATCAACAGGATCCTTACCTTTTTGTACCTTACATTCTGAAAGGTGAAGCACCACGTCAACAATACTACGGCCTCGTAGCGTTTTTCAATAGAATCTCGTTTAGGACTGAACGCTTCCCGGTTGTTGAAGGGAATGATAAAAATTACGAATTCGATGTGTATCAGGGGCGGTAATCTCTTCTTTCAGTAATGAGCATTGACTTCCGGAAAGCGCTTTACTGCTAGGTCATTTATCATCAAACACGAACAGAACGGTTAAAAACCGTTTGGCATAAAAGTAGATGTCTCACGTGCATACAGTAATTTAAAAACTGAACATTCTCGTGCGTTCTCTCGAACTTACTGGGTATTCATTGACGGCTACACAATAGTAAACTAACACCTCAAGGCGGTTTCACAATTTCCGTAATAAAATTCACCTTCCATCAAATGCATGGACGGATCTTGGACACTAGATCATAGACTATACGCATGCATCACCATCAGTATATGTCGTCGCACTAAGTGCAGTTGGAACAGATCCTATTCTGTCATCTACCATGTATTTCGCTCAACTCCATCGAGCACCGTGATATAGGTCTCTCACTTGGTCTCTGTAGGTACAGGTATGGAATAGCGAAAATCACTCGGACTTAAGGAGAGCTTTTAAGGCATCCACAAACTCGACGTAAATCGTCCGTATATAATAGAAATAGAAAGAAATCGTGTAGCTGTAGCACTTTTCCGGTGCCTAACTGCCATGTCACCCGAAGGAGGCACGAGGGCTGGGATACTGCTAGGTCGCCTAAGCTAAGACAGCTACAATAACTGAAGTAGTGACCTTTAATTACACCCTACATTATCTCGAATGAATGATCGAAATTCTCATTAAATTTTCGTTAATTGCTTTATACTTGTATGATTTGGCACATATGTACAGGTCAACAGGTTCCAACTGGACCTATCTGTTGGTAGTTTTAGGAGATTCGGGTAATTTTAGTTGAGAATTCGTCCTGTAAACGAAGCCAAGCTATCCCGAAAAGCCAAGAATCCGCATCAGCCGATCGCTTATTGATGGGTGACAACTTCCCAGGTAGAAGTTTTTTTCCGTCGTGGGAGTTTACTGTTTTTCCAAGCCACTTACAGATTTCCGGTAATGTGGGGGATTCAGGATTATTTCAACCGAGATTACAGTTGAAAATCACCCAATCACCTCCCACCACCGACAGTCAGTAAGTAGCTTGGAATAAACAATAAATTCACACAACGATCGAAGCTCTTTCTCAGAAGCTTCCATTCGGGAAGACAGTCAACGTTTGATTACGTAAGGTGTGTTCTGTGAATGAAGACTGAGTAGTGGTATAGCACGGTAACAAACACAAAATTGAATGCAAGCGATAGATGTGGAAGGGTTACAGGAGAATATTTGATAAAACAATGAAAGCGTCCCATTCGAAGTCGTGCCACCAACAGTTTTAGTCAGACAAAATGAATGCAAACATGTATAGCAATTTTAGGAGTGGAAATACGCGCAACCGAGGAAAAGACAAACAATGATAAATGCTCTTCAATGGGTGGTAATCGCTTGGCAAGCTCACTACCAAAAGGCTAATTGTTCGAACTACCCGCTGAGAGGCCGCGAGTTTGAAAATCTCTGGATTTCATGAGGATTGCAGTGCTGATGATTCCGAATAAGCATGAAACACCTGTAAAATGCTCCTAGGATTTTTGGCACAGATAGACTGTACCCGCAAGACGAAAGATTGAATTACATTCTTTAGATTTCCATGATTGTTTTCGGCTTGCGTTGCATGCCCAACTAGATTTTCACACTTGTAGTGGAAATGGATAGTTTCATTTAATAACCTGATAACATTAGTTCGGTTATCACATTTAGATTTTTTCAGAGGCGATGTGCTTTATTCAGTGGTTTTTACGGAGCTAATGTGGTATCTTTTTACCACAGTGCACAGACACCAAAAGTGGCCTGAATAAATGAGATGAGAAGCCGCTAGACCCCATAAAAATAATAATCTTTATATTTTGATTTAGCTCCATTCGGTCTGATGCATTATGTGCGTCTTTTTGCATGCGGTGCGCCAGCACAAAACATGGGTTCTCTATACGAAGACGTACTCTCATTTTGCTACACTCCCAAGCAAATCGTTTGGCCGAGCGAAAGGTGAACCGTAGAAATATGCTCCATTTATGCTTCTCACTTTATTCGTCAACTTGTGATGCTATCCCAAAAGACTTTGAAGATAAAAAAATTTAATATCTACCCAATTTATGAACCGACAAGAAAAAAAGAATATTATAAGCAAGTGTATTTCTCCAATAGTGATTAATTCGAGAAACAACTGGCGCTTGTTTGGCAATAAGAATCAAATATATGCCCGGGGAAGTAGTACAAAGTAAAGGGTAGTAATAAGTATAAGAAAGATATCGATGAAAAATCAGAGATCAAAAATCACACGGATCATGATGAGGAACGGATTTAGATGTATTACTGATGGGTGCATTTTTTATCATGTAGGTGGAAATGGTTACTGAACGACAGTCAGTTAAGAACATAACACTTGGAAGTTAGGTAGCCCAAAGTTAGGTAGCCCACGTTCGCCGAATCACACCGTCCTCATGATCGCTGTATTCCTGGTACGAGTCTGTCTCAACAAATTCTTTGCCACGTTGGCTCGAGACCTCGTCTATCTTCATTGCTAGATGCGTGTTCCCAAAGCTTGTGACGCTATCCTTGTTCAGTACGGAGATACAACGTGGCACAGACATGGATGTTTTGACAGGAGCCGGGTTCAATTTGTATTTTCTGTCAAGCTGTGAGAGTGAAACAATGAAGTTTGGTTTGGATTTTCGAGCATGTGTGAGCAAGGAATGCGTTTGCCAACGAGATGAATGCTATGCAGGAAATGCGATATCGAAAATTGTCTACATGTACATAGTTGGATGACGTGGGAAAATAATTTGGTTGCTCAGGGTGTAAATTTTTTGGCTGAATTGTTCGCTAAACTCCGTAATTTCGTTAGAAAATGTTTAGTCATCAAGCGAGGTGCTTAAACGTGTAGGTGTGTAGTTTATATATATATATA